TATTACATACAAATGTTTCAAACTATAGAGTCAATCTAGTGAGTCGTTTATTAAATATAGGCGTCTGTTTTAAAGACGTGTAAAACAATACGTGTACGTAGTAGCTGATGAAATTTGATGAAATTGATTCTGGATTATTTTTCACTAGTCGCTAAGTTTCCTCCAATCGAACGAGCTATTTTTGGCGTTAGTGTATCATAATACGTTTGCACTATCTGGAGGAGAACTAATCAATTAAAATTGATATGGACCGCTTTCCTACCAACCCGCGCAACTCCTGGAAATTTTATAAAAAAATGATATTAAGGAAAGTAGATGATATATCCGTCACACGGACTTGATTGCAGACAGACACAGAAACTTTGATGCTTGATGTCCAAAACATAAACCGCGAGTAGAAATTTTATATTCTGATTTCAAACATTTTTTTACTCTTCCGTATGAATAAATATCTATCTTGCATTCGGTAGTGAAACAGCAAAATATATATGAGGCATAGTCAATACATATATAATTTAGTGTACTTATTTACTTATTGTCAGATCTTAAGATTTTTTTTTTTTAAATGTTCCGATCTACCGAATTTCGTGTTATAAGATTATATGATATATAATAAGCTGAATATTATTTAGGATACATTATAAATAACTAAGGATGTATGGTAGGATGACACATGTTTTCGACGAAGGGAAGAATTTATTTGATGAAATTTATTTTATTTCTTTTTTCTTATTTTTCACACTGATAGATATTTTACTACAATATATTTAGATGAGACACTATTCAAAGATAAAATTCTTCTTCAGTATGCAATACGACCAATATCAGATGTCTCCTTAATTGGTTATACTTTGTATTTGAACTCAATTTTTCCAAGACTCAGTAAAATTAAAAAAAATTTTGGAAGTTTCTTTTTCCTCCTAGTGTAATTATTTTATTTGTTCTTAAATTAGGTAACACACTATATGTTTCGGGCCTTTGTCCTATCATCTAGAATTTTTTTTTCTCCTAATATAATCGTAAAAATCAATAATTTAGGTCTTCGCTCAGATAATAGAATATTTTTAACAAATAATTACTTAAAAAATATGACGATATAAAATATTGTGTGTTTTTTATTCCAAATTAAAGAAATAAAATAATTACACTAGTAGGTAAAGAAACTTAAAAAAGAAAAGATATTTATCAAAGTGTATTTATTTTAATATTTCTGTTGTACAGTGGCTCACAGTGAAATTGATACATCTCGTAGAAAAATTAAAATAATTCAATAGTTACAGTAAACAAATAAAACCAGAAACTCTTCAATAGATGTATTTATAATCTCAATTTATATGTGTAAATACTCAATAATAATAATAGGCTTACCGAACCCGAAGGTTCGATGCCGACACCACCAATGGCTTATTATACACCTCCCTCCACCGTTCGCCGTCCAAACGCCGTCTACCCCTCGGACGTTTACTATTCGGTACACCAAATATAAACCTTTTAGGAATTCTCTCGTTACTAAGCCCAACAATTTTACAAGTCCATTTGATTCGCCGCAATGAAATTACCTCAATTATATTACCCGAATACAGTTCACGCAATTCGGCGTTGTGTAACCGTCTGAACTCTCCGGTTAACTCATCTTTCTTCGGTCCGAATATTCTACGCAATACTTTATTTTCAAAAACCTTCAAAGACGCTGCTCATCCCTTAATGTAAGCGACCAAGTTTTGCACCCATAGAGAACTGTAGGTAAGATAATGGTTTTATATATTCTAATTTTTAAGTTCCGAGACAAGAGGCGCGAGCTACGTAGTTTTGTCACAAAAAAATAACAAGCATTTCCCGCCTTCAGTCTAACCGTAAATACTCAATAAAATAAAATATTCGACTGTGATTATTTCAAAAAATTAACAAGAAAAGAACTGAATACTTTTGCCTCACAGTCAAAATGATAACTCTCATTTCCTATTAGCTTTTAAATACTATTAATTTAGTTCAACGCCTTATATGCTAGCCATTATTTTCTACCACTTCTTTCAGTCTGTTTGTAATGAAGTTGAACATACCAATAGAGCTTGAGACCTCCTTTTTGGAGGGGTTTAGTTGAGTGGAACTTGTACCAGTAATACGGAGTTTTGTCATCTAATAAGATGAGCTTCACCGCCAGAGCCTGGTGAAAAATTCTAGCCACATTGTTATAACTGTGGAGATACTCGCTCCATACCTACCTGTGATATGTTGGATTGATTCCAGCGTCGCTGAGCATAATCGACATTTGTCTGTAGTTGTTGTTATTACTATTATAACGATGATTTTCTATATTTACTTGGACCTGCTTAATTGCTTGTAATTGTGGGTCATTGATTGACTTTTTTACAGTGATTGATGCATTTTTGTTGTTTGATAAATTAACAAATTATTATATAATTATAATTATTTAAAGTTAAACGTATTCAGCAATAAATAAATTGAACCAGTGGATCTGTTAATGGCTACTTCGGCGAGGGTCTGACGAGGCAGGGCTGAGCCACAAGAACCGGTTCCCGTAGGCACCTCTTTAAGTGCTCTGATGTTTTATTTATCTCTCCTCGGGTGGCATTATTTTTTTTATTTTGTTTTTGTCCCTGTCTGGCTATTCTTAGCGACACCGTCTTAGTCGGTTAAGTATTTTATGTTGTCTGTATAATATTTGTGGATGAAATTTTAAACGGGCTCTTTAAAGTCTTATTTCTCTGTAATAAAACACCTTTGTCAGGGGTGCAGATGAATTAGAGTAATTTATGATTTATAGTAATTAAGGCTAGTAAATTTTAAGTCATTCATATGCGTCATCTTAAATTTCATCCAAAACAAACGCTTAGTTTAAAATCCTAGTACAATAAAGAAGAATTCTCACCAATTCCGAATACCTACAATAGTATTATAAACTCTCTCTGATACATCGAAGAAATATCATATATAAATAAATATATTTTGGTCAATATCACCAACTATAACCAGGCGCCTTTTGGACAGCGAATCTGTTGATTTCATCCCGTATTCATTCCTTGAAATCTTAGAATATCGGCAAATGTAAATTATTAATGATCCTAATTAATAATTGTTGCTTATTTAGCCCCAAATATATGCCCATTCTTTTAATATAAAAAAATTTAGGAAAACTACTGTTACAAAGCCAACAGTTGTGCAGGGAGGTGATTGGGCCGATATCAATCATACTCAACCGCCAGGTTTTCTCCTTAAGTAATTAAGTACCCACTTCATAGAGACGGTTGTGCCCCGGGAGGGTCGATCCACGGCTGAAAAATGACTAGTCATCAGCCGGATTCGAACCTAGGACCTTGAGATCTGGAAGTCAGTGCTCCACCCACTGAGCTACACCGGTTCCCTTTTAATATAAAATCTATTCAAAAAGTTTCTAATCTTGATTCTATTACACAAAATAGCCAATGTATTGCAACGCTACCGTTTAACCTTGTTGTTACTAGTCATTGTCCTATTGTAGGGCAGTTTTAAGTTTGCTTTCGCACTTTCAAGTTTTGCGTGATAGATGACAGTACCTGTCACGGGAGTGATAGCTATTATCACGTGAAGATGCCTAATAGTGACGTTATCTAGTATAATCGACTGTAAATGGTGATTGTGTGGGAAAACGTTTTCGTATATTGTTTCTATTATTTCTGAACTTCAATACAACATAATTAGGTTATTTTATTCAGCATTTATATGATTTTTTTAATGACCAAATTGACTTAGTTAAAATATTCACGACGCCAGCTGATTTCATTCTTTTTTTCTTTTTCTGTGGTGGATTCAATCAGCTGTTATATATCCACCATTTTTCAACTATCCCCTAGTTTTCTGTCAGTATTAAAAACAAGTACACTACTTCTGTCATGACAATAGAATTACGACAAATCACTATTATGTCCTACTTATCAGACGATTATTCTATTTATATCATAGACAAAAATAAATTAAAAAATGCTAAATTTTTTTTATTATTATTCGAAAGTTGAACATCCCTTTACCTTTTAATAGTATTTTTGTTATGATACGTTTTACTTTTATTTCATTACACTTGTTATATTGATTCTATAGCGAAAGAATGAGAATATTTAATATATTATTTGCAATACGTAATCCTATCTAGCGGTTAGCCGATGATTTCTGTTAAGAAATAATGAGATCTGACAAGATAACATATTTCTAAATTGTACATAATTTTAAAATAAAAATTATATTTATATAAAGGGAGCGGGGTAGCTCATTGGGTGAGCACTGACTTCCTGAGCTCAAGGTCCTAGTTTCGAATCCGGTTGATGACTAGTAATTTTTCATCAGCCGTGGATCGACCCACGGGTCGAGGGATCCTGCTGGGTCTCTGCCAGCCTCTATAACGTGGGTACTCTTAATTAAATAATTAATTAATTAGAAAAACTTGGCGGTTGAGCGTAATATTGGCCCTCCACCTTCCTGTACAACCGTTGGCTTTGTAACAGTACTTCCTCACATTGTATTGAACCCCCAAGAACCTCCATGGGTTGTTAGTGTGGTACTACTGGTTTATATATGTATATATATATATATATATATATATATATATATATATATATATATATATATATATTAATCTCGGATTTTTCTCAGAAAAATAAATTTACCTACGCATTTTACGATATGGATTATTCTTATAAGTAAAACACTTACTGTAAATAAATCAATATTTACATTTTATTACTTAGACCCCTTGACTTCTGAACCTCTCAAATATTAAATGTTTTGAGGTGACGTGTAATATCAGCCTCAACCAGCTTCTTCTAGTATATTAATACGCGTTGAAATATTTGGGATAACATTTTAAGGATAACAAAATAGTTTAGGAGGTTAGTTGTCGCAAATTCCGCCACTAAAGTAATTTAGGAATGCATATTTATATGGGTTCATCTATTTTTGGAGGAAACTATATTTTTGTGAAATGTCAATTTGCAGGAACCAGGGAAAACATGAAACAGCACTCAGAAAGATGGGTATTTATACGTGGTGTATTGGGTTTGACTTCTTCCTTATGCCCTCCAGCTTGTCCATCCTGGGTTACTAACTCTGGACCTGGAATTAAAAATTATCCTTAAAGTTTGTTATCGGTCAGATATCTTTTTTTTTTTAATTTTTTAGAATTACTCCCACACATTCAGTCACCATTATCTCGTATATTGAGTCATATTCTACGCGTCCTTGAAGCTCCCACTTGCGATAAACATGTTTTCACGAAAGTTATTTCCTCAAATTTGACTATTTTAAGCGATTAGACGACAAATAGGCATGCTCAATGAACTGAAAGTAGTAATTTCATGCTAGGGAGAACGCTTTGAGCATCCTTTTTATGTTCTTAAAGAAATCTAGGCTATACAAGGTTTAACAACCCATTTAGGGGTCAATGGCCCTTTGTGGAAGAAGAGGTAATTTCTTAAACAATTATGATTTTTATTTTCAAATAAGAAAATATTCCTTTATAAAAATGCTCCAGTTTTGCAGTTTGCAACCTTGAACTGGACTTACATGGATAATTCTTGCACTTTATTATAGATAGAATCATTAGCGGATCCAGGATTTAATTTTGGGGGAGGAGGGGCTTCAGCCCGAAAGCTTTTTTTTTCATAAAAATAATAATTACTTAGGAAAAAAGAAAGAAACTAACTACCCATATGAAATGGTGTCCTTTTAAATGTAATTACACGAACAATAATACTTAAAGAGATCATTTTTTTCCATAAAACATGGTTATATTTTACCATATGGGGGAGGAAGAGAACAAAGCTCCGCCCTCCTCCCCCGTAGATCTTCCCCCCTCTCGGATCCGAAATTACTTTATAAAAACAAAACAATTATACGAATTGGATTCAATGAACGAACAGTGACCTTGTGACCTGAACTGCACAATAACACTTATCATGAGCTGATCTAGTGAAATGATTCCAATTTTTAAATTTACATCTGATTTCACTCACAGATATTTAGGGAAAATATATTTATAGTAATAATATCTATTATGTAACTCTTAGTACAAATCATTATTCCTATTGACATTATTTGAAGTAGAAATATAACTTGGACCACACTAAACCTTTGTTTAGATCTCTTTGGCCTAAACAAAATTTTAATAAAATTATGATAGAAGTTAAAACAATTATTGGCAACTATAGGAAAAGTTCGCATTTGTTGTCAATAACTGTTGGTATAAAATATATTTTGATATTTGCCGACAAATTGTGGAAAATTTTAACTGCATGTTAAAGATATCGCCAACAAATTGGTTACGTTAACCTTGAAAATGTTTCGTAATGCATTTGATGACAATAGATAAGCAAGATTAAATATTTCCCATTAACTTTTAGTGTTTAAATAATAAATTGTTTTTCGATGAATCATATTTTACTTTTCTTTTAATTACCGAAAATGTTACCAAATTAGTTACTTCTTCAATTAACTAAGTTAGAGGAAGTTTAGTGTTAATTTATTTTTTAACTAGCATTTGGCATGTAGCAATCATTATACACAGTTTGATTTGATATAGATATGTTTTTTAATCAATAAGAAATAACATATTACATCATTAATGTTTTCAGTTTTTTTTTTTCTGTTAACTTAGAAAACTTCGTTTTATGTTACTATTTTCAAGTTTGTTTTACAAAATAGCCGGTTTGTGACACGGGCGGATCTACGGGAGGGGGGGGAGACTTTCGGGCTGAAGCCTCCCCCCCCCCAAAACGGAAAAATATAACCATGTTTTATGGGAAATTTTTTTTTAAAAATACCTCTTAAAATATTATTGTTCGTGTAATACATTTAAAAGTACTTAAGGAATAACTTAAACACCATTTCATACAGGTAGTTAGTTTCTTTCTGTTTTTCCAAAGTAATATAAATAAAATAAATAGTTTGGTTTAGCAATAATGTCGCTGTTTATTAAGTTAGATAATTGTGTTTCCCGTTGATGTGTTGTGAAATGTTTAAACGCACGTCAAGGTTATAAACATGTAGGTAGGTTGCAACAGAGGTTAGCAAGCGTTTTGTTTACACTTCTACTCTATCTGTTTTTAATATTACTTTAATATTTCACAAATAATTGTCTTACAAATATTTAATATAAATTCACAGTTTCGAAGAATTAAATGAAGTATTAGTGTTATTTTTTACCCCAGTTTTATGTTGAAGAATTTGAATTGTTTTCATTTTTCATTAGATTTTTGTAATGCCATTTGCGTTCAGAGATATAAAAAATCACCTTTATGTTAAGGTGAGGCATTTAGAATTCGAAATTGCATAGTGTGTGCCTTTTTTCCTAGAGAAACATTAGTTATAATTTTGTAGTTGGAATAGTGTAAATATTATCAGTGTTAGATTATGACAGTATTTAGTTTTATTTTGAAATAATAAGTGTGAATACCATTTTTATTTTTAATTAACTGTGCAAACTTTCATTGTACCAATTTTTATTACCAAACATTTAAAATTTATCTAAAAATACACTTAATTACGCAGATAAATGAAATCTTATCACAGGTTCTGTGATAAGATTGAATGAGGATGTAGGTGAGCAAGTGAAAATAATCATGTCAGTAGTGAGCATGTTTTCTAGTTGTAATATGCTGTATTTTGACACATTATTTTTAATTTGGTTGAATTCATTTATGATAAGATGTTCCAAAGTGTTTGGAATTATGTTCAGAGCTTTTATAATCAAGGAGTTATTGAAGATAAGTCAGTGGTTAGTTCCAGTTTTTGTTGCATAATTTAAGCTGTCAAAATTATCAAAATGAGAACAAGAAAAAAATTCTTTACACAATCTTCCTTATTTAATTTTAATATTTTACGTATACAATAAATAATATGTTTGACCAATTGATTTTGTTGTTGTTTTTTTCTTAAAATATTTGTAACCTATTATGTTGTTTGACTTTTGATATTATTTAAACCAAGAATTCATGTGAACATTTACATATATTCCTATATCCAAAAATTAAATTTTCAATTAAGTTAAAGGCTTAAAACATTCCATAATTTAAGTTAACAATAAGAATAAACAGAAAGCATAGTTGAGCATTAGTATTCTAACTAGAAAGACGACATTAATATGAATTAATTAATGTGACATTAATATGAAATCCAATGTCATTGATTTAATAGACTAAAATATTTACCTTGACATCGAAAAAGTTTCCCCCATGAATAAATGTTAAAACCCTTTATAAAAGCTAATGCTGAAAGTATATAGCTTCCGGGAAGGAATCTCGCTTTACATTAATCAGTCCTCACAGTGTTAAACTGGCTACTTTATAGAACAGTCCAAGGTCTTTAAAAGAGGTGGTATGTTGTTAATTAGTCTTGTTGGAAATTGAGGGTATTCTATTTGGTTGATAAGTCTTGAATAAAAATTATAACTTTAGTCCAATCGCTTGTTATTTACTAATTAGTTGATTGTGATAGTTTTTAAGAATTAATAAATTATTATATTTTTATAGTGTTACTATCATAACTGTATTTTATTTATGGTACATCATACAATCTTAGTATGATCCTAAAGATGGTATATATATTTTTTCTGATTATTTAAAAAGTTCCTTTTTTTAAAAATAATAATTATGATTTATCAAAAGATTGTCATTTAAGCCTTGAATTTACCACAAATATAAGTAAAATCGCTAGGTTTATCTTTTCACCTATACATTGTACAGAGAGAAGTTTAATCTTATTAAATCATTTCTTAATTTTATATTAAACTGTGTATTAATTTCTTTTTCTATTTTTATTTAATTTTCTATACATAAATATTTTTAGTATCAATATTATTATTAAGAATATTTGTTCCAGGTGGAAGCCACAGATACTCTGACATCTGTTGCTGCAAGATTCGATACAACTCCTTCAGAATTGGTTAAACTAAATCGCCTCGCTGCACGGACAGTTTTTCCTGGTCAAGTTATCAGAGTACCAGACAAGGAAGGCAAAAAAGAGAAGGAAGGAGATGAAGATGGAGCTTCTCACACAACTTCTACAGAAAGAAGTGACAATACTGATGAAGAAGGTATTATTAATTTTAATGAAATATAAATAACATGTATATTTATTTATACTGCTTATCAGTACTTCATAATGACAACTTTGTTGTAACCAGAGATGGGCAAATGCTACTCTGAGTACGTAGTACCAAATATTTTACTCAAATTTAATCACTATTAGGAATTCTATCACTACTTCAGTTAATCATTTGATATCAACTGAAGTTGTAATTAAATTCTTTGGTACTCAAAAACATTTTTATTTCTTTAGTGTAGTAGTTAATATGTTTTAACATTATTTCTGTGATCAATTCATTTGTCTTATTCGTTACTACCATATTTAAGTTGTGAATGTGAAAAATCAATTTTTTGAAAAATATTTAAATTTATCTCTTAGGGTTTAAAAATAAGAAGTGAACAATGAAAAACTTGATTTATTTTTAAAATTGTTCAATTTTTTTCATACATTCTTTTTTTTTTTTTTAGGCCTATACTTCTATATATTGAATGAAAGTTAAAACTAAAATATACATTCCAATCATGATGTTTAGGATCATGATTGAATTCTTTTATTATTATTTTTGTGGCATAAATGTTATGATCCATTATTAGGTCTAACTCCCAAATATCAGGCTTTCAACTGCTTTTGTAACCTAAAGGTACCATTTTGTTGTCTGCAACTGCAATAAGTAGTCTGCTAAATAGCAAAATAGCAGAGGGAAATAAAATATAAAATTATATTAATAAATCATAAAGAAATAATCGGTTTTTACAAATGACCTATTGCGCTAACAGTAGCGATGTTCGTAAGTTGGGTAATTTGTTCCCCCACCAAAAAAAAAAAAAAAATGAAGTAGAAAAAGTATCACCCACCTTCCCAAACATTTTGCCATTTTATCTTTGAAAAAATTCAGAGGGGAAGATCTGTTCTGCTTGTTAGTCCTGAATACCGTGACTCATATTTTATTTTATATGGAAAGAATTGTTGCATACTATATTAAGTTTTATAGCCATTAACTTGACTAATTGTGCTTGGCTAGTAATCTGTGTGGCATAATTAAAATCCTAAGGGTCATTACCACTATTCTACCGCACATTCAACTTAGAAACTTTCAAACAACTAGGGGGATGCCCCCTGTTCACCTAACGGTGGACCAACCCACCATTTTACAAATTATATAACTGTTGATTTAATTTTACTACTCCTTGCTCAAATTTTATATCTTTAATTTACATGTATTCTGTAGTTCAGATTGTATTATTTTTTATCAGAATAAAATAAACTGAATGAAGCCATAGTTCGGACAAATTTAGCATTTCTGTAATCTATATTGTACATCGTGCATTATTGCCAATAACTTATTTAATTATAATAATAATAATAATAATAATAATAATAATGCTTTATTTATTCTGGGACAAGTCCCTTTAGAATAATATAAAAGGACAATAATATGGGCTGAGGAGCCTTAGAGAAACATAAACAAAAATATACAGTAATTAAATAGTCAAAATAAAAAAAAATAATAGAAAAAATTATAAGTTACTTACTAATTTAGATCAGTTAAAAATAAAAAACAAAAAATTGAAAATAAACATGAAATAAAAATAATGAAGAACGCTCTAATAATTTATATACATATTTGCAGTAGTAACTATTTACAATTTTACTTTTCTATACTATTACAATAGTAGGAAGGAATAATTGGATAGGGATATCTGAGAGTAAGGGATAAAAGGTTTTAAATAGGTTTCGGATATTGCTATTATGTGGTAAAAATTATTAAGGAAATGTTCCTGAAATTAATTCTAGTGTGCAGTAAGGGATTGTGCATTGATGTGACAGGAATTCAGGATATTCGTCATGACTGGAGGGTTGGGAAGTAGGATTTTGGAAAAAAAAAAAATTATCAAGGATGAAGGATAGGATATAAAATTTTTTAAGCATAATGTCAAGTTTATAAATATAAAAAACCAATGCTTACATAAAATAAACTTTGTGATGAAAAAAAATAAATTTTCGGTGTTTCGAAATAAATATTCAGTTAAAATTAATTTATAACATAAGAAAATATAAATTTCTCCTTGGTCTAGATAAATTGATAAAAATTGGCAAGGAATCGAATAAAGTTCTAAATAATTTATACAAAAATAAAAGAAGCTTAAAATTAAAATAATAATATTTCTGATGAGTAAAAATTGATACAAAAAACAACGAGAGAAGCTACATTTATAAAAAAATAAAGAAAGCTGGAAATGAAAAAAATATAATAAATATATTTCTAGCGAGAGAAAGTAAATTAATTGCAAGCTGAAGGTAACTTATATACAAAGTTCAGCTGAAAACGTCCAAATCACTTGGTTTTTCTATAATTACTACTGAACCTCCATCTGATTGTCTGCAAAGAATTTTACCCCCACTGAACCAGACGTATCTTATTTTTGCCGTCACCCTCTTCTGCCTGGCTAACCAATAAAGGTGTTTATTGGTGGGCGTCATGGCTTCACTCACGTAGACGCAGTGCGAGTCGTTCTCTCCCCAGCCTAGATGGCGCGTAGAGAAATCTCTCTTCGCTCTTCGTTGCCGCACCAGCTCATCTCTCACCGCTCATCTCATTATAATTATTTTTATTGTCAATTTGTAACCATAATAATGAAATGTCATTTTTTAGTTAGTGAAATTTATTCGGGATTCCACTGGATAATTATTGATGATAATTATCCAAAAATATTTAATAAAAGATTAGTTAAACAAATTTGAATCTACAATATACTGATTGGTCCAAGGTTAATTAATTGAATTTTATTGTACGTTATTCTGTGCTTCCTTTTCTATTTTATAATAATTGTTATTATATCGCATTATAATATAATAATTAATATACTATGTTGATGGGAAAATGTCTAGATCGAAAAATAACTGCTGTCATATAAGTAAAATTAAACTACCACCTCCAGATAAATACCATTTCTCATACAAATTTTTATCTAAAATCTTTATTTTGTATTAGAGGAGTAAGAGGTAACATGAGCTCAAAACATATGTAATTAAATAAACAGTTGTATAATTTGTAAAATAATCACCTAATAAGTTGAGCTCCTGTTATCTCATTCTCTCCTAATACTAAAATAAAATTAAATACGAAAGTCACTAAAAACTTTTTTATATAACAGGGATATATTTTTAAAATTAATTATAAAATTTAAATTGTATTACTTTGATTATGTTTACAGACATGCTTGAGACCTTACGGGTCAGTTCTCCAAAGCCTGGTCATGTCGAAAGAGTCGGAACACCATCTTCCCCTCTTCTTGAAAAATTTCTTAAAATAAATGTGAGGCATATTACAGATGGACAGGTAAGAATATTAGTTTTTTATATTGATTATAGTACTTAATTATTTCAAATAAGTATATTCTTTGTTGAGGAAGGAGAGTAGCTTGAAGATTAAAGGATTGAACTTTGTTCAAATCTTTGCATAGCATCTTTTTTTTTTTCAAAATGATCACCTGATAAATAGCAGTTATGGTGATATGTGATATTGATCTTACTGTTCCTAAAGAACAGTTTGACGGAGAACTTCAAAATTGCAACTATTTAGAATTTCCGCTTATGGTCACCATTCTTAAAATCATTTATGATATATCTCTATAAATCTAAATGGTATAGAATTGTAAATTTTTTTATGTTAGTGATTTAGTTTTGTAAAATAATTTCTTGCAATAAACCTATAATTTATATTTTATGCAATTTTAATTATTATGCCTGCGTTTAGGCTCAAATTGATTATGTAACTGTTATAAGTAGAAGAAAAAAGAGTGAGTGAGGTATACATGGAGAAAAATGATTACCTGAATTTATGGATGTATATGTATTTTCGTTCATTCTGCTCTGATTTATTTATTTATCCTATGTGGCTTTATATAATCCAGTGATATTAATTATGCCTTTCGACAAATCTTTCATTATTCCATCCCCTCCTACATCTATCACTCCAATACACCACGTACCTTTAAATCCCACCTATTCAATCACTTCCTATCCATCCAGTTGTCAAACATTTGTAAATATATTTTTGTAAATTATTAATGTTGGAAGTTAACTTATAATTTTTTAATATTTCTATTTGTTTATATATATATTTTTTTAAAACTCTGAGACTCTAAAGCCCACAATTGTATTATTCTAAAAGGCCTTGTCTCAGAATAATTAAAGTGTATTATTATAGATCTGACAGTTCACCTCAGTAATGATAGATAACTGTTTTGAAAATTAGCCCAAATAATAATAAAACATTTTAAATATTTTTTAGGGAGTTGTCAGTGGCGTACTCCTGGTCACTCCAAATGCCCTCATGTTTGATCCTAATGTATCTGATCCTCTGGTCATCGAAAGAGGTCCCGAAGCTTATGGAGTCATTGCACCAATGGACTACGTCGTCAATGCTGCGATTTATCATGATATAGCTCACATGAGAGTTGGAAATGCTGAAAATAGGTATGATGGTTTGTCTTTCTTGTTAAAAATTAGTTTCTATTAATGATAATTTCTATTTCTATTCTTTTTACTTTTTTGCCATGATAATTATTTAATTAACATTTTTAAAAAATAATAAAAAAATTAAGTCTACTACTTACAGTTAACCTCTATATGTCAAACACGAATGTTCTTTGAAAAACAAAACAATATTTAGAAATATTGCATTTTTTTATGGTTAAAGAATAACCAAGGCAATATTTTTAGGTTATTATATATATATTAGGTATATTTCAATTTCATTTATTAATTCTATCAGAATTTAAAGAATTAAATCGTTTCATACTCTTTGAAACTTTCTTAGGGTTTTTAAACAACCGAATCCTCTTTAATTTTCATTCCTTTTTTATAAATTTTATTAAGTTGAATTTGTCTTATGGAAAACACCTGATAATTGTCGTTTGGAAATAGGTTCAAAGAATGTCACTCCTATGGGTGCTTTGTGAAATTGTGAAACTTTTTTTTTATCATTATTACATCCCTATGAATATAAATTAAGTGGCCTTTTTGTTGAAAATGACATTTAACCTTTTTTAAATGTGTTTTTTTGATAGATATTTAAACATTTTATTTGATATACAGAATATATATATATATATTTATTTTTTTTCATTGGTGATGGTCAGGACGCAGCCAAATTTTTTTAAGATTATTATTTCTGACATTTCAACCTAAACTACACTTTCTAAGCTGATAACATACCTTAATGATGGCCCACAGGCTTGAGTTGAAACTTCGGGAATAAAAATCTTTAAAAAATCAGACTGTGTCCTGACTATCTATCACCCATGATACGTAGAACTTCCTAATAGCTTTCTTCAAGAATAGTTTTTTGTAATAAAAGTCAAGGTTCCTAAAAAAAAAATTTGATGTATGAAAGCTCAATATGCAAAGGTTTAACGCATTTGAATGCTCAGTATACTGATATTTTTTTTTGGATCCATCTAGAATGAAATTAAAATTGTCAGTATCTTCATTTTATATTACCGATCAATACTTTATGTATTACAGATGCAATATTCCTAAACCTGAAGTTTATCACACCAAGAGCGAGGAATCAGAAGGTGAAGGGGATGCTAGCTGCCTCCTCTCGACCAATCAGGCCGATTCTATGGAAAGCAGGGACCCTTCTGCTAAAGATACACTCCCTGACCTTAGGTAATTATCACTTATTACTAATTAATGATTAAAAATTAGGTAAGAATTCTCTTTAGTTTTATATATTTGTATTTGATTTGCACATTCCATTTATATCTGAATCCAAAACAGCGGTACATTTTGTATAAGATGTATTTATTATATCAGCTACCGTTCAAAATGAATAAGTATCAAAGTATTCTGTTTTTGGATTAGTGGTTAATAGTTCAGAATGGATAAAGGCTGTCGACTTAAGGTATAGGATTATTTATTTATTTACGAAACTTCAGAGCTTTTCAACCAACAACCATTTTCGCCCTATATTACAATGGTAAAGGATTAAAATACTGCTTTATTTGTTGAAATTATACCTGTAATAATAGAGTTTGCTGCAGAGAAATAGTCTATTGCTGAATATAGTAGAAGTAAAAAAAAAATGTTTAAATAGGGTGTGGGTGATTCAGATGAAATTCTAAGGCTATTCTCATCGGGTCTAGACATCTCAATAGTTCTCTTCCTTACTTTCCTCTACTTTACTTCAATAACCGTCCATTTTTTCCCTACTGTCAAAAACCTAAGAATAACCTTTGACCTGAATCTCTTATGGAATAACCATCCTAAGATTCCGTGATTGTTTTCCTCTAAAAACCAGACAGCTCCTTGTAACCTCCCTTATATTCCCTCACTTTGACTATGGCTGCTTGGTATATGGACGGCTATCTGTCAGGCTAGAAATGAGACTGAAGAGGCTCATGAACTGTTTCAAAAGATACATCTTAGGAAACCCCAGGCATTCTCATGTTTCATTCTGGTTCCCTGAGCTGAAGTGGCTTTATCTTACTTCCTGACGACATTTTCTCCTTTTTGTTTTCCTTTTCCAAGTCCTCAGAACTAAAACCCTCCCTACATCCTGAAACTCCTTACTCTATGTTCCTCTATCCACTCTCTCAATACCAGGTCTCAACGTATAGATTTATATATCCTCTCCCGTAAAACTACTTCCTTCAGCAAATCCTTCGTCATTCGTGCTACTTCTTTTTGGAGCTCTTTATCTATCGCGTCCACAAATTCCTTCAAACATCTCCTGTTCCACCACCTATTCCATATTCCAACTTCCGCAAACATGTAAAATTTACTTGTGTCTGTACACTGTATAATTCAATCAACTGCCCGATTGCAATTGCAATCAACAGTTAATTAGGCATCATTTTTTATTCTTTTAAGCCAGACTAACACTCATAAATATGTAACTCTATTATTATTCTTAAGGGACTGTAGTCTCAGAATAAAATTATTTTTTCATTCATTCATTAAATACTTATAAGTTCTGCCACATGAAAAAAATTAAACTATAAACAAAAAATTATGATTATGTCTGATTTATTTTTTTAAAAAATTTTCATTCCATACTAAGTATTATAATGCTTCATGTTGATTTATTTTTTTAGGTCTTCAACAGAAGAAGATGATCTTTGGATGTGTGGTTCGCAGAGAGAAGGTGATGCTTTCCCCAAGGCATTTGAAAGGGATCTAGTCACTCCCACTAATAGTAATATTGATAAATTAGTAAGTTTCCTTATTCTTATATATAATTTTAAAAAATATGTTTGTTATTCCTTTATTTTAATCTCGTGAGATCCCCATAAGGTATTATTGATTATTTATCAGATGTTTAATATTTTTGTCTAAATATAATTATTTAATTTACAGAGCGATACTCAGGATACTACATTAGAAGAAAAAACCCCTGAAGAAGAAGACGATAACAATCTTGTAGATGCTGAAGCAATGGTCCGTGCGATCGAAGAGAGGAGAAAATCGTACCTGGATCACCATTGGGCCGTTCCCAAGCAGTCAGTTGATGTTGAAAAAGAAGATAAAGAGGAAAAAGATAATTTATTACAAGATCAAGGTATTCTTTTACTTTTAGTACAATACCACTTTGCTGTTAGTGTGATTGGCATAATTGTTGTCCTTGGTGTCTTTAGTTGTTCTTCCACATTTCATCCAGTTTGCAATTTTAAGGTTTCTGTTATATGTTCTAAAAATAAATGAATGAGCATCACTCCATCATCTAATGTTAGATTAATAAAATCTGAATTTAAACAATGACAATTTATTAATTTGATGTGATTGGTGCAGAATTTAAATTGTATGTATTATCCTCCTACCCAATCAATAATTATCCATTTTGAGATTGGCAGAATCCTCAAAATCTTCAATGGTTAAAAATTAAAGTTATTCCAAAACCTCTTTGAGTTTCGAGACCTTGACCTCTTCTAAAAAGCTTTGTTTAAAACTAACAATGTCGGTCAAATTGCTTTCCAGTAATTGGTTCGCTTTCAGGCTCAGAGCTTTTATGAAGAGTGAATTACATCCATTTATGTTTTAATAATGTTGTTATAAGTTGTGTGGTAGAAATGGATAATTCGATAGGAAAGTTGTGGACTGGCCGTTGGTTAAACAATTTAATTTCAGTTGTTTGTTCTTTTTAGTGCCATTGTTTTTTTTCCTATCTAGTTGAAAATAAGAAGAAACATTGTTTTGTAAATGTTTTTTATTTTAATTTGAAGCCAAAAAAATAGTTTGTAGAAACTTAAAATCATCTTGTTCTGTTTCAGTCTAATTTTTCCTTTTCTTTTATTTAATGTATATACTGTGCTGTTTTTATTGTTTTGTAGTTCCATATTTTAATATAATATCTTTAGCATTTAACTGTATTATGATTTATTAAAATTAATTTTCATTTTATAATATTTTAAGGGATTTATTCCAAAATAATGATTTTATTATTATCTGTAATTGGTATTAATTTGATCGAAATGAAAGCTTCTCATAGATTTTTTTATATTGTAATATTTTGTTAAAGTTACTTTAACTTCAATTTTTATCTTGGTCTTAAACATGGATGTATGGCATTAACTTAATTAAGTTAATACTTATGATTAAGTAATTACTTTAATAATTTATTTTTCATTTCTTTTTATCTCAGTCCTGGTTGAATTGGATGATGGACGTCGAGGCAGCGGCGGTAACTTAGTGAAGCTATCCTGCCATGATTCAGGGATTGATATCCGGGATCCCCCACCTCCTCCACCGCCTATGACAAGGAAAACTGTCTATTCGGATGCTGATATCCTTCTTGGAGACGGGGATTTCGTACCTCCAATACCTGTTCAGCCGTTGGTATCAACATCATCAGCCCCTGGTACTCTCGAGGATGACAAGAAAAAGCAAGGCGTCTCCTTCTCGTTGGAAGATACTGATAAGATGAAAGCATTGGATGATAAATTTCCTGAAACAAAAAAGAATAAGGTTTGTATTCTCTGTATGCCATCTCATAATTATGAAATGAAATATAATTAAGCCGTGGTTGCCAATGGTATTAAGGCATCATCTTAAAACCTTGAGTCTAGCGATGCTGGTTTGAACCCAGCCTGGGCAGGTTGAAATTTATTTCATGGAGGACCCATGGAATAAACTCAACCTTCCCACTCTGTTTAGAGTAAAAAATTAAACTTTAATGATTCTCTTAAAAACTTTTTTTCCTTCTTTTTCTTTTTTCTATTGTGTTTATAATTTTAATTTTTTTCTTAGATGTTGAAGAGGTTATCATATCCTTTGTCTTGGGTCGAGGGTATCACTGGCAGTGATGAGAAAGAAGGCTCGCTCCCTTCATCGGCTGATTCCCATCCTTCTCATTCCTCCTCGGTCTTTTCAAAAGTTTTCTCAAGGTCAGTATTGGTACTATTTGCATCCTTCTTTAATCTATCTGTTAAAATAGCTTACAAATTTAATTTTTATAGTGCTTAGGTAGTGTGATAAGAAATATTTTTTAACAATATAATAAATATGGATTGTATATTTTATTATTTGGATGTTTTATTCTGTTGGTGATTATTAGTTTATATATATTTCTTTTATTATGTTATATTTTTAATTAATTTCTTTGTAAATTATCCTTTAATCAGTCAAATTTGTTATTTGTGCAGTTTTTCGTATTGAAATAATATTTTAAAACCGGATTCACTGAATTTGATAGTGCATCCTCAAAATTCGAATTATTATTACTATTTGCTTAACTAATAAGCAATAAATATTTTGAACTTTAGATGTAACAAATTTGATTTTGATTACTTTAGGATAATTATTTGGTTTAACATCAGTAAGAGTTATTGAGAAAATATTTTAGAGTGTTTTAAGCAAATTATAATATGCTAGAGTAACATTAGCATACTCTAGCCATAGTCCGAGGTACAGATCTCTCTTTATAAAATTATTAACATCCGCCTAAAACTTAATGACTTGCTTCTTCTTATCGTAACATACAAAGTTTATATGTACGAAAATTCCCAGAAAAGGTGGTATTTTCTTATTAAATTAATTAATCTAATGTAGTACTAAAAACTTATAAATACCCTTTTGCTTTCTGCTTGAATCATAAGATAATTTGATCACAGAATCGAAAATAAATGTGACCTACAAATTTTCACATATTGGGGGTGGAGGATATGCCAAACGACCCAATATTTTTGTAGGCCACCTTTTTTCTCGATTTTATGATCAAATTATCTTATGATTCAAGTGGAAAGCAAATAGGTATGTGCTCATCGGTTTATAGTATCTAATTATACAGTCAAAGTTTGGCGATATCTATATTGAAAATTTCCCCAATTCCAAGAGTTTTTATAAATAAAAAAATTGTATGTTACAATGAGATAAAGCTATTCATGAAGTTTTAAGTGAATGTTAATAATTTTATTTAAAAAAGTGTCTGTATCATGAACTACCCTGATAACATCAAATTCCTGGCCTCTTTAACTGATCAATAACTATATTTTTGGTTTCACAATAACAATCTACCATCATTTCATCGCTTGTATATCATTTTAATTTTATTGTTAAAATGCTGCTTTATAGTTTCAACGTTATGGTTGGGATTGGATAATTTGATTATCAAAATCAAATCAAATTGTGACACATAATTTTAAATTTAAGTAATATTTGATGCGCTGCTTCTTTTTATATATAAAAAAAGAAGATATGAAAAAGTAATGCTCTGCTTTTTTTTTCTCTTTTCTTTCTAATGCTGCAATTGTGTGCTGCTCTACACCTCCTCTGAAACGTACCTTACCTGATATTTTCCATCGTAAAATTATATTTTACTTTTGTAAATTCATTATCATTTTCAATTGATTTAATTCTTTATTTCGATTAATAAAAATTTAAAAAAAATTCTTCTCTTATTTTTAATTCATATTTCAATAAATTTGTTTATTATATATTTTGATAATTCGTTAACGTGTTTTTTGTTTTTTTTTTCTCCTTATATGAAACAAATAGCTCCCCTATTAACATGGTAACAGATTTCGGATCTGGCCTCTTTACTAAGACACCGAGTGAAGACGGTGGAAAATTTCCCTTCCCTCCTGATTCTCAACCTTCCTCTGCCCCATCCTCCGCTCCCTCTTCGGCTCCGTCGTCTGGCCCAACTTTCTCACCCTCAAATATCATCAGTACCGTAGGGTAAGTTATCATTATTAACTGAGCAGTCTTCAGTCTACTTTCCTTTCCCTCTTATTATTTATTTTATTTTTTGTTATTTTTACCTGTTTCTTCTCTGTCTCTATTGTTGGTCTGTGTTATATATGTGTATTTGCATAGCTCTTTAAGTGTGTATAATTACATGTTATCTTTATTTCTTTCCCTCTGTCGTTAGACCTCTTTGTGATAGCTTTACAGAACATTTATTTTGTAGACTATGGATGTATAATGGTTTGAAGAATGTGTTAAATGTCTAGTACTTTCTTCTTTTTTTTTTTTTTTTTTTTTTTTTTTTTAGTTTATGTCTTATGAATCGTGTCATTAGTTTAAAAATGAATGTTTTACTACCTTGTACTATCAGTTTGTAATAAAAATATGAAATTTATTTTTTGGTTGGGAATTTGGTTTTGAGGGAGAGAGGGATGTTAAAGATTTTTATTTTATTTTTTGCCGACATTTCAACCTAAGTTGGAGGCCTTCATCAGGGCTGAGTAAAGACAAGATAACAACTAAAATTATTTTTAAAAACTATTATTGTAAAACGATATGAAAATAAATATATGTTATCTGCTGATAAATAAGTTATAATAAGTGATTAAAATTAAAATATATGAGTATTATATGTAATTTCATATATTTTAATTTTTATTCACTTTAAATTATTTATTTATTATCAGATAACTTAGGTTTTTGTTATGTTATCTTTCATAAGTCCTGATAAAGGCCTGTAACTTGGGCCAAAATGTCAACACAAAATAAAATAAAATCTTTTATTTTTATTTGTGTGTTCTCTCTGACTGCAAACCCGGACCAACTTCCCAACCATATTTTCTACAGTCAACAGTTTCTTCACCATTTTTTTTTTTTTTTTTTTTATATATATTACAACCGTAATGGATAATGTAATTATTGTTTATTCTTAATTTTTGTAATATTTCTTATGTGTCACATAACGAGTATTAATAATTTTCATCCAAATCATAATCATTAAATAGTTTGAATTTCTTCAGTGTATTTGTTTTTTGTATCATATTCTTGGAGTTTCTTTTTACAAAAATTGAGCTCGTAACTGCCAACAAACAACACCTGCTAAATTCATTATGAAAAACTATTGTCTTTATCTTTAAAGAAAGCTAAAAATGGTTGGGAAGGGTAGTAATCGACATGAGAAATTGGATAACAAACATTTATTGAAATAAAGAATAAGTATATTGCCTCTTTGTTCTCTGGCATGGATCTTGGAAACTAAGTCTTTCTGTTTTTGCCATGTATGAGCTTATTTCCTTATACTTCTGTGTTATTGATTTAGCTTGAGTTTTTTTATATACTAACCATCTCATTGCTATTATAGATTTCTTATTAATTATAAGAAATCATTGCCGTCTCATTTTGACTCGATCGAGTAATAATCAAGTTAAGCCGTTCTGTCTTTTTGTAGCCTTCAGATTTTATTTTTAAATAATTGTTCCTTAAAATCTCTTGATTTTTTTGTTCCTACAAGTTATAAGTAGCAGTTTATACATATTTTTTCATAACATAAACATTTCCTGTAAATTATAATGCGTTTCATACACAATGTGGGATACTTTACATAATATAAATGGCAAAGAGATTGGGTGGTAGGAAAAAGTGTCTGATTCTCATTCTTCTGGTATTCATCGGAAAATTTGTTAACTATTGTTTGATACTCATTTTTAAGTGTTGTTTTGACCTATGATTCTGATCTATGAGAAAGCCTACTGATTTTCTAATGATTTGAACTATATCGAATCAGAATTGAACATTCCACTTTTCATGGACTATATAGCGTCATAATGAGGCTATGGCACATTCTTATTTTTAATACTTCACCAGTTTTACAAATTATTATGGTGTATACTGATCATTTTGTTAATGTAGCTTATTTCCCTCTAAATATTTTATTGTGAAATTACATTTTATTATTTGATTTTACTCACAAGTTTAATTTATCTATCTTTTGGTTTTATATGTATATGCATCAATATATAACCATAGAAATCAAATATCCTAAAAAATTCACCAATATCCTGACGATATTAAAAATTCTAAATTTTTATCTGTTAATGTATCATTTTTTCAGTTTCTTCTTTTTATTATTGATTTCCTTATAGGCTATATAATAATCTAAAGCATCTTTTGTTAACTACATTTTGCTGCATTAATTACTCTGATTTGTCAAGCACTGCATTTCTTCAGCTGCTTTTTTTGCATATAATTTAAACTTGACATATAAATAAATAAACTTAAATTATACTGTTTAGGGTTCGCAAGCTCTAAAACGTTTTTATTTTAACTCATCAAGACTTTTTATCACTAAAAAGCATTGATGTAGTTTTATCTTCATTTTTTTTTGTATTACTACTATGTTTTGTAACTTGTTCTTGAGGTTTATAGTTTATATTTGTTAAATATTGATTACATATTAAATACATTTATTATTTTTATGGTGTTTAATATGTTTGTATAATATATTAAAAAAGAAAAATAATAAGATAAATATATTAAGTGTGTAGGGTCCAGAGGAAAATACCACCGATTCATTAAAAAAAAAAAAAAAAAAATGTAATTATTAGAAAACAATGTAGTTATCTAACTTGGCGTACAGAATTGGATTAGATTTCTTATTATTAATCATCTAAGGTTCACTGACCAAAAATTTCACTTTTAAATTTTACCCCGAAAAACTTTTATTGAACAACCAGAAAACAGCAATGATGATTACATTCATGATCAAATGATAAATGCAGCAACTCACAGAAAATTAGCATTCTTCTGTTATCAAACTTATTTGGCCGCTCTATTTAAATTAAATCTGATAGTTACGTCATAGTGAATATTTTAAACATTACAAACACAAATATTGTTTGTAAAAGTTAATTAAAATTTTGTTATATATCAACATACTTAAATTGTAAATTTTCATGAAATTCAGGTCTTTATTTTCCTCTGTATGTTTCACATATCAAATAACAATATATATTTTAATGAACCTCTTGATATTTTGTTGTTCATTTTATATGTTTGTTCTCATTAGTTCATGTGGTCTGTTTGAAAGCATCAGTAGTTATTAGTTGCATGTTATCGTTGTTGCATTGTTTTTGTCAGATAGTTGTCTGTGTATGAGTAATTTCTATAGTTAAATGTTTTATGAATCATCATATTAATGATTTTATGTTTTGTAAATTTGTAATATTTTAACATTTTTTTTTCTTTTAAACTTTATTATCTTACACAATGTGGATAATAAGTGAAACTATTTGTGTTTCAAAGGTACCAAAACAATTTGTATAATTATTGTAATTTTTATTTAAATTTTATAATTATTAATATAAAAGTTTATCTCCTTTGTGATCATAGTTCACTCCTTAGTGAACAGTTATTACTTCGTATGGATTTTTAAATAGTTTCTTTTTTTATAAGTAATCTAATCTTTTATGAAATTTATTCTTGATATCTGTTATATGAATTTATTTCGTTCCTTTTTATAGAAATTTTGGAATTGTTAAACATTGATAATTTGAGGAATTAATAAAAATAATTCTTAGTATCATATAATAAGCTTGCAATCCTTATTTCTGGCTTAGATCTTGAATCATGTATTGTCTTTCTGTTATTTATTTTAATGTTTCTTGTGGTAATTTTTATTTATCTGAAATCGTAAATCATATGAGATGCAGAATTTTTTTTTTTATGGATGCTGATAATCATATTCATTTAGTAATCGTTAAAAAATTAAATAATCGATCTGGAACTCACCTGTGGCACACTCTACCTCTAAAAAGTTGGTGTCTCACCCTTCTTTCGATCGGATGTAAATTTATCTTATGCATTTAATACATTATGGTTTATCCATAAATTTCTGTAACTGAGTACACTATAATATTTTTAAATAATTTTGTTTCTTTTTTTCATGATAAGATCATGAACTAAAGCTTAATATTTATTCTAATGATTTTGTAATTATATTAGACAGTTGTTTTTAGTGTGTAATCTTTAAGTTAGTGCTTAAATATGTATATTTTTTTCACTTACGGTGTATCAATATTTTCTTAGGCGCTCATCCGTTGGAACATTCATTCGTCAACAACACACAGTTCACAACAAAGCTGGACCAAAACTGGATTATAGGAGTATGGTTTCTGTTGAAGATATGCCAGAACTCTTTGTTTCTTTCGATAGTGAGTATTCATTTCTCTTATTTCATTTTATTATATTTTTTGAACTAATTATACCCTATCGTATTACTTTTTTTTTATAATAACTTAATAATTGAAAATGCAATTTCAACTAAAGATTACTTTCTAAATATTTATATAACTAAATACACTACTTCACAAAGACTACATCGTTAGCACTGGCTGTGTAGTGTGTTAATGTTTAGATTAGTGTAGCTAGTTTAGAAGCTTGTAATACAGTCTAGTTTGTTGTAAATTCATACCAATTTATCTTATCTTTCTTCTAAATTAAAAAAATAAAGTTTAGAAATCAATAATGAATTTTACATTGCGCATTATTTTGGCTTTTCAAGCTTAACTTCTCTTGCCATCCATAGAGGCACAGTTCAGTTTATGACAATTATTAACATAATTTACATTGCTTGCTAAACAAGTAAAAGTGGTGCCTAAATCACATAATCTCACTGTATACTTTTTCAAATGTGAACATTATCAGGTTTTGATAGTATATTTACGTATATTATTAAATACTATTGACTCTCCTTTGTACAGTGGTCAGTGTTGGGACTTAACTTGTTTTTCAAAAGATTTGTATCTGAAATGGGTTTTTTTGCAGCCTTATTTAGATCACTACTAGAAGAATGCTAATATTTCCAAAGAAAGGCAATAGATAGGATATTTTTAAAAATATATGTCAACACTATGTATTAAAGAATCATAATAAATGTAGCTTATTTAATAAATAATAAAAAAAAAAATTAATGTTGATCATGAATCACTATGAAGTATTAAACTACACTTGTTATTTAAGTCAATGCTTTTAAATTTTTTTTATTGTTAATTGAACCCAAATGAGGTACCCAAATACAAAATCCTTGAAATCATGATTATATTGTTGTAATATCGGTGTGTGTTTTTAGTATAGACTAACGTAGTGTCGTTTTTTTTGTTGTCCTTGCGATATGGTGACATTTGTGTAGTTCACGCACCACTATTCCCGCAACTCGAAGAGCTGGGTATGTCTCGTTTAGAACAACCTTTACAATCATCAAGATGAGATGCATGAAGATCACATTATTCATTGTGATGATTTTTTTTTTTCTGTGTGTTATCATTTGTTATCCCTTTTTACTTGATTTTATTTTATATTTTATCCCTAATTATTTTATATGTTATTTCTACCTTTTTTTTTTCTACACATTTTCTGAGACTCTCGTTTTTTGTTTTCTGCCTGTTTCACAAAATATAATTTAATCATTTAAATTTTTTTATTCTATTATAAAATTGTCATTTTCCTTTTTATATTAATATGCACTGTACACTATATTGATACTCAGAATTTTAAGTTGATATTTAGGATATTAATAAATATATTTTATTGGTTCATTTAACTCATTTTTAGAATCTTAATTATTAATTAAATAAAATATCCTCAAGTTTTTAATTAATGCTGTTTTGATCTATATGTATGATTCATATAATTTATTCAGTATCCAGGTCTTATAGATTATCAAATATTTTTATAAATCATTAAGAATAAAATGATCCAAATGAATTAAAATTAATTTCAATCCATTCAATTAATTTATTTTTCTTATTTATTTTTCAAAAGAAATTCTTTTTATTTTCCTAGCATGCATTTCAAAACCATATTTATTATGTATGCATTATAATTTTTATCGTCCTTATTTGTGTGATTTTCGTTTTTTTTTTAATTGACATGTTTAACATGTTTACGAGTACTATTTCTAGACTCTCAATTAAATACTTAACTATATTGTTTAAACTCAATTTGGTTAAATTATAATTAGTATATAAAAAAATTTTTTTTAGTATTTTAGCCTAATATTTTGTAAAGTTTTCAAACTTGAAATTTCCTTAAAACAAATCCAGTAAGTAAAAATTTTAATTGTGTTAATGAAAACATATAAAACAAATAAAATTCAATTATTAGTATTAATATTACGTTCATGACCAAATCTAAATTAACTTTAAATTCGGTTTTTAAATATTAATAAAATTATAGATTTTAATATAAATTTAATAGCACCTGAATTCCCTACTATTCTGAGTGAAATACAAGAACTCCATAAAATTAATTGCCTTTGAGCCTTACTCGCAGGTGGTGACAGTATATTTAATATATTTTATTTATACTGAGAGTGTCCTATAGAAATGTAAGTAAGTTAATTTGTTATTGTGTTCCCAAGATCGCAATAATTACTCCCCTACATGAATGTTGGTTGACCCCTCTGGGATTTCTCTGCTCCCCAAAACACATATAATTCTAAAAAATAAATGACCCTAAATCATTGTTTTTGATAGTTACTCAAATTCACATGTTAAGCGTTGTCAAAGCATTCGCTTTTTCATCACCTATTGCTTGAAAATTCTGCATGACTTTCCTCTCATGATTTATTTCTCCTTTAATGCACTATTTGTTTTCCATATATTCATTGTTCATCTGACAATAATTATAATCAAACAATTGTTGATTTAATAATATTTTCATTATGTCACTGAGGAAGAAAAATATTATTTTTTGTTTTTTAATTAATCAAAATATTAAAAGAAAAACATAAAAGCTTTAAGTTAAGAAGTAATTTTAAAATATTAACTATTTTAAAATTATATGGAATTTTTGAATTATATTATAGTGGATATATATGTTTGTTCTCAAAAGTAATAGCCCTTTTTTTTTTCATAACATAAAATATTATTTTTCTGTAAACAGTACAATTCATGATTTGACTGATGCATCTTTGATCCAATCAATCCTAGAAAAATGAAATATAGTTTAATATTATTATAAATTAAATATAATTTAATATTGTTAGAAATGAAGTAGGAAGTTGGAGCTAAGTGTTGACCACTCTCTTCCAAGAATATTTTAAGGTCGAGAATCAGCCACTCTTCCCTATACTTGCCCCCTAGATCCTCATGGGTTGTGGGACTATTTTTTCTTCTTTTTTTTTACCCCTTAATTGGTCATTTCTGGAACAATATGAACTAGCATTCTTTTGTATTATACTTTCAGAATAATCTTTAAAAATGAGTAAATTGTGGCCTACTTTTTATGGGGGTAATGGTACTCTTATAAAAAAATATTTTAAAATTACAAAACTTTTAGTTTATTTGCATCATTTTTCCTTAGTTTAGTCATTTAATTTAAAAAGATAATTTTTAGATATTTCCTTAATATTCTGAAATTATTATGTCGGGAAACAACTTAAGGAAAAACCTTCTCGTCAAAGCTCAGGCTGGGGGATTACTTGAAAGCTTTCTCTCTCTAAACATCTTCAGACACTTACCTAACAATCTTGTCAAATATATCATCTTGAATTTTATGGTTATTTATGTTTATTTTCTTTCAATTCTGTATACTAATTCATCAGTTGATTTTTATTTACATAACAAAAGTTCATTGTTTGACACTTGTGGTCTAAAAGGTTCACTCTTAAGTTGTTTGCCTTTATATAAGTTTCCATTATACTTTTGTTTTGTTATTTAAGGTATATTATTTTACATTTGTTAATTTACTATTTTAATAAATAAATAATAATTTACCATTACATAATACTAAATTTTATTTATTGTTCTACAGAGCTTATACCGAGGCCTGCAAGGTCATGCGAAGACCCTCCACTATATTTGAGGTTACGAATGGGGAAACCCAAAGACAAAAAAATTCCGAAATCGACACCGATCATGTCTTACGGCAAGAAGAAAATGAGACCTGAATACTGGTTCAGTGTCCCTAGGGGGAGGTAAGTTCAAACCTCTACTTTTCAAGTGTGATTTAAAAAGCTTATTTGTAAAAATAATCATAATTGAATATAATAATAATCATAATGTTAAATAAAAATTGTTATTATAAATGCAAACAAAAATTTTATATCTTACTATGGTTTGTTAATATTATTCATAATTCATTAACTACATCGATAACATTTTTATTTTTCCTTAGATGATCCATAATTACTTTTCCTCTTTTATTACAATTATTTAGTTTCAAAATGTTAAAATCCTATCTAATGAGTATGTTCTTAACTTTTTTATTGAATTTACAATTTGTTTTTAAAGTTAAATTTAAATTAATTTTTAGTGGAAAAATTTAAATTACGAGTGTTTATTTATTTTAATCAGACCTATGGGCAAGAAGTGAGAAGAAAATAAGAATTAATGAACAAATGTCAAGACTATAAACTAATATATATTTTCTCTAATCTTAGTTTACAATATTATTTTCTTTCTAGTGTATTATATTAATTTTTTATTTTTCCAGAGTGGATGACCTCTACAGGTTTTTGATGGCCTGGGTAGGACACTTGTACGGCGATTTAGACGAAGAAGCCGTAGCCGCTAGAGGTTACGAATTAGTCGACTCCGACACCGAACTTTGGGAAACTGATGATGGAAGCGGCCGTGAGCGTCGTTCCTCTGATCCAGATATTGGGGATCTCACTCGTGAGTCTTGGGAGGTATGCCCACGAATTTATTTATTATATTTCATATTTATCTTATAGGGCCAGTTAGTGTTGTGAATGTTAGTTGAGGGGATAATAGCAAAGGATATATTTATTATTGAATAATTTTTACCATCTTATTTTAGGTCTTAGAATTATAATCGAGACTGCTGAAAAAAAATTTTAAATAGTGTGTAGGTATTTTGGGAGTTTTCTTTAATTTTTATAGTGCAGTCCTATTTAATATTAAATTGTTCCTTTTTTTTTTTCATCTTTTTATATAAATGTAATATAAAAACTTCCATAAAAGTATTTTTCTAATGTTACAAACTTTCTTCTTACAATTCACCATTTATTTTATGTACTTATCACTCATTTATTTACATTTTTTGGTCAATTATTTTCTTTTAAAAAATTCTTATGAAGTCTATTGATAGGAGTTTATGAATAAATTATTTCAGTAGATTAATTAATGAACGATTCAGGTTAATATTACATGGCTAGAATTATTTTATATTAAATACTAGGATATTAATATATGTTATACTGACTTATATGGAGGGAATATAAATATATATTCCTATTTTGAGAAGAGATTCTTGAACCCATTTAGAACATGTGTAGTTGTGAACCCGCTAGATATGAAAAAAAAAATTGGATTGTTGATGTAAACAAACTTTTTATGGGGGGGTTTCAGGTCCTGAAAGCTCCGTACGCCAAGCTGTATACTATGATCAAGACGCAGGCTACTTTTGCCTCATCCGATTCGCAGGCTGATAACGAGGTGCCCTTAAATGCTGCCTCTCTGTATTTCTGTCTCTTTCACACTCTCTTCTTCAATAATTTTGATTTTTTCCAATTTTGTGAGAGTTCCTATATCAGAGTTTCTCTCTAAAATGATTGATAACATTTTATTTTATTGCAAACTGCAATTTTTTTAAGTATCAATAAAATTCTTTCTTATCACAGTACAGTCGAACCTCTTATCTATATATCGAACATTTAGATTTAACGAAAAAGTATCGATATATATTTAGAAATTTTGATTTATCGAAAAATTACAAATTTTCAACCTTTGTCGTACAAAATAAGATTTCAGTTATTTTTTAGGGTTAAAAAAGTATCAAAGGTATTTTTTTTTTAGAATATTACATGTGCACTATATTTGAATTTATATTTAGTCATCCTTTGAGCATTATGGTTTTCAATTTTCTCCAAAAATATTTAATAGCCATCACATATTTGTTTTAAGTTTTTGATACCCAACTTGTACTAACTTTTAAAGTCATTCAGAAGCCATGTTTACAACAAGAAAGATAATTAAATTGAAAATTAAAATTTCACTTTATGTTGGAAAAAAGAATCTCACTTCCATTGCTTCTTAGTAAACAATATCTTATCCAGTGTTTCCACAATATTTTAAAATAAATCCCTCCTGTCCGGAATATATAATAATACGTAATAAAACAGCTCGTTTTATGTCTGCCTTACATTTATTATTAAAAGAATAGATTAAATCGTGCTCAGATTAGGCTATGATTGATAAAAATTGTTTTCTTTTCCCTCCCAACCTTGGAATTTCTCTAAAAAGGGGAGTTTTTCACCCGAGTGGAAACACTGATCTTACCGAATTTCTACTACTTCGTGAAACAGAGAAATATATTTTTTTCTTATTTACCTATGATACATTCTTCTAAATGTAAACTAAGGGTTACTAATATGATGATGATTTCATAATTTTTTTTTTTTTTCTTTACGTTCTATTCAATATTTAAAATTTCAAGATACTTAAAAAAGTTTAATTCATAGAATTTTTCAATTTATAGAGGTTCGACTGTATTCAATCAATAAACAGTTAAAATAGAAACAAATCTCTGAAAAGCATAAGAAATAAAATTTGGAATGTTTTTTATCAACTATACTTTTGTTTGGTATTATTTATTTATTCTGAAGGAGAGTAGTGTTAGGTGTCTTATCGTAGTCCCCTTTAGTTTTCCTGCTCAGAAATTAAAAAAATTAAAATTAAATAATAATAATATTTATAGCAGAAAAATGAGAGACTGGGCAGGAAATAGTTTAGGAAATGTGCCAGCACCTCTTAGACTAGTTTGCACACAATACGTAGTTTGAATGTATTAGTTCACTGTTGCTTTAGATGTTAGCCCTCATCTTCCCTCCACTCTAACCTTGTATATTACGTACATTATGTACAGGAATTAGTTTGCCTTAGTCGTTTACTTCAGTTATAGTATGTTGTTTATTTTATTATAGTTAGTAGTTGTTTTAATGTGTATTTTAGTTTTATTAATTTTATTACATCTCAAATAAGAGCTATATTTACAGGTTGCCGTGAGTACGCAATATGAGAAAATTTTCATATCCCAGGAAGATATGAAAATATCTTCAATAATTTCAGTTTTGGTTTAGAAATAAATTTTAAAAATAAAGTTTTTGATGAAGTTACTTTAAAGATGGGACAAAGAAATAAAGAGAATATATTCAAGATTCCATTGATTACAATATTTTTCATTGTAATCATTAGCAATTATTTTTTGGACAAAATTGAATAAATGTTATTGATTTTTATTGTTTTTCTTTTAATTTTTATTACAACTAACAAAGTTTTATTTAATACTTGCAAGTTATTCTGGTAACACGGAATACATTAAATATTTATAATATATATCGGAAGTAGATTTATGAAAATTATAGGTTTGTTTTTTTGGCACTTTGGAAAGTGTACAAGATTATGAATCTATTATCACAAAAAAAAATTCAGATTTTTTTTCATTGTTCTACCAACTACAATAAAAATCTCTTGATAATTAGATGAAGAGACTAAAGACACTTTTTTTTTAAACATTAAAAATGAGTTAACATTTACAAAGCTGATGATTATATCTGGTTGTTTCAAATGAAATATTAATTTTTCTAAAGTAATAAACCATCGATGAAAACCATTTAATTTTATAAATTAATCAAAATAGGCTCTTTGGTTTGAAGAATTCTCAGAAAAGACGTTTTAAACAGTTTCTAAAAAATGGTCTCAGATCTCGTAGAGTAATCGTATAGGAGATGATTATTTCTACTTACAATCAAAATTAAAGCTCTTCTTTAATTTCTAATCTATAACTTTTTTAACAATTAATAAATTATTATTCCACTCATTGTTTTTTAATGTTACTTATAATTTTGACATTTCATATGCAACCAGATGAATAAAAAATATTATTTTAATTCAATCATTTATACATATATATTCGGATGTATTTAATTAATTTATTATGATCATGATAAATATTATGGAAATGGATATGCAACGTTGATTGCTGTGTCCTTGACTGCCACGACTCTGATTTCCCTGTAACCGTAGTAACGACAGATTTGCACTGGCTTCATTGTGAGAACTAAAGACCCAACAATTTTCCTCCTACCCCCTCCCTTCTGACTTCAGTAGTGAGGGTTCTGTCATATTGTGTTTTCATCTTTCAATATTGAAGCTTCTCTTGATTACTGTAATTTGATACCTGTTGGATTGAATACAATTTTATTTGATGTAAGTGCTTACTTATTTTAACTTAATAATTTAAGAGACAGAATTTAGTAATATCTTTATATAATTCTAAAATTACTGTCATAGTACATTTAGGTGACTTTCGGTCATTTAGAATTAATTATTATTATTATTATAATATAATACATTTTTCAGTAAATTATAATCAGACAAAATAAAATAAATATTTTTATTTAAGCTTAGTTGTATTCTTAATTTTATTTTAATAATTCATCCAAGTTTATTTTTTAATTTTTCTTTTTAAACTGGTGGGTCTGCATAGATAAAGCAATTTCTACAAGATCTGATGCATTTTTCATTCTTAAAATATAGAAATATTTCGATAAAATATTGTATCATGTTACGATGGTGATTTAATTGAATGTTATTACTGATTATAAAAATGAAAATTAAGAAGTAGGATAACATTTCCTGACTTGTAATATTCTTTAAGTATTAAAAATTTTGATATTGGTTGTGTTATAGCAGAAAGTTAAGATAATTGGAGGAAGCCAGGCCTCTCACTTGTTTGGTGCAAGTTGTTTGACCAGTTCTCTAGCTGATCTCAGTTGTAGCACTGAATCATAGTGCTGCTTTAAATTTTTTTTTTTTGTTTTTTTTTAAATGCAGATGTGACATTAATTGTTTTGCTTCTGCTATAAAATCTCTGTTCTCACATTTTATTACTTTCAGTTTTCTGTCAGTGTTCATTAACTACTCATTTTTATTAAATATTGTACATACTGCTTGCTTTTTTATTTATTTTTTTTCATGTTTTTGTTAAGTGTGTTACATTTCTATTGTATAATTTTCTTTTAAAATTGTAGAAATTGCTTAATACGCAATCGAGAAAGAAGAATGAGATTTTTATGTTGACATAACCTCTAAATATCTTAAATTGTGACCATTTACATTTTAAGTGTGCTAACAAGTTTTATTTAATTGATGTTTTGTTTTGTTTTTAATCTGTATGTTTGTGTTTTATTCACATATTTGTGTTGTGATTTTTTAACTTGAAAGTTTTATTATGTCATAATGACATTAACGTTGAGCATTTAAGTTATTAAAAACCATCTTTAAGAGAAAAAAAAAATTCCATTTAATATATAGTGTCGTGATTATTTTCATAGAATATGGAAAGCGTGGTGACCCTCGGCAGGACTATTGTGGATGTTGTGAGTTTTTTTTATTTATTTTTTTTTTTAGTTTTTTTTTTCTAACCTGGTTGCATGTTAACAAATAAATCTTGGCTGGTTCAGAGCAAAATAATATCAGGTTGGCTGGGAAAATATGGGATTAATTGAATTGATTTCAACGTATTGTGATATATATGAAAACAATTTTTACATAAGTAAATTTGCTGTAAGCTGTAGGTAGTTTCAATCATTTGTTTACTTTTTCATGTTCATTAATATTTACCAATCAAGGGGATTCCAAAATCAGTTGTATTTATTTATCGTTTAATTTTAAAATAAAAGTACTTTTTATTTTTAATTGATTTTTAAATAATAAAAAAATGAAATAATAATTAATTAATAGTTTGCTTTGAACTGAAAGCTTGTTTTATTGTTGTTTGTTTTGTTAATAAATTACTAACGCTTAATATAAATATAGGTCAAGGGTTCTTTATGTTGATATTTATACTGCTTAAAGTATACTAACATTATATGTTTTTATTTTTATGTTAAAATAAACATGAAGTTTTGGATATCATATTATGAGGTATTTTATTTAGCATTAGTGCATCTGTTCTTTGAAAAATGATATATTATGATTATAACTATGAAATTAGTTTTTAAATAAATAAATACAATTTTGACCCATGAATTATAATCCTTTCCCCCACCATAATTTGAATTAAATATAAATTGTAATACCTTGATCTTGAACTGAGCAGTCGACCTCCTCGACTCGACAGTTTATATATAACGCAGTCATCTCAAAATATCTTGTTATACTGTCTTTACTATTTTAATTTATGACTACATAACTTTTGTTTCTTCAAACGAATAATTTTGTCTTGCTTGATTTGTGTCAATCGAGTTGTAGAAATTGCTTTATTCAACAGGCTTGTACTTGCAACATTCTCTTGGAATTGCAAATATTCATTTAAGCTCCATGTACTATATATCTTTTTTAAAAAATATTTAAATTTCTGTCCTGATATACTGTGAAATTGTTAAAAATAATTTGTAGATATCAAAATCATTTCTTAAAAAAGTAGCATAAATGATATAAATATCAATTTTTACACTTCTTCTTTTTTTAATTTTTATACTTTATACATTTCACTATTATATAGTTTTGTTGCGTTTTTCTAAGAATCGTGAAAATATCATTTG